TTAGTAATGTATCAGTGCAGCTGACAGAGAAAGCACAATTCTAGGTAGAAATGTGAAGGCCCAAGCTCAGGGTCCAGTTTTGTGTTTACAATAAGGCTTTATCTCCCTAAATCTTTAGTGGACCTTGGTGTCCTCACTTGTGAAAAAGGGGGAATTGGAGAAGATTCTTACTAAGTAGTCTCCATTTCTAAGATGCCTTGTCTTTCTCGTCCTTTTAGCTTCTTTCATTGATTCATCAACGCATGTACTTATGTATCTATTATGTATCAATAAACTGCAAACCTAACTATAGATGAGGTATGGACAATAAATGATCAAAATACGGCATGGCCAGTCCAAAACAATGGAAGAAATGGCATTTAGTATTGATTACTCTCAACTCCAAGGAGGACAATGACATTCCAACTTCTGTTTTCAAAGGAACAGACATACTGCTTTTCTCTCCAGGAAAAAAAATATGACAGATTTAGGTATTTTTCAAAGAAATCAAATGAAGTCAGCTACTCTTGATAGGCTGATTACTTAGCTTAGAATTCATCTGGATTTATCCCACTTCATCCCACCTTCATCATCATTGCTAGGATTGGTTCCTTCTCATTATTTTAATTCAACTCAACTCAACTCAATTAAATTCATTTCTCATTTATGGGACCTTTCTCAGTACAAGGAGCTTGCAAGATGCATAGATTATTTTCAAGGAGCTTTCAGTCAATCAAGTGAGAGAGACACATGTGTAAAATAAGAAAAGTCAAGACAAGAATGTGTTTGGATAAAGAACAGTGAAGCTGTACCAGTTAGTGAGGCTACAGAACCCTGTTTAAACCAAGGGGGAATGCTACTAACCACTCTACATCATTTCCAGGTTATTTGGAGGTATAAACTATCCTTGCAATCCTTGTCTCCCATTTTTATGTAAATAGAAATTAAACCAAGAGAATTTAATTTAATCTGCTGGTTACTGACATCTATCAGGTAGCCATATGATATTTTTATCGAAGGATCAATGTTGTGATCAAAAAGCTTTGTTATTGGAGTCTGAAACTTTAGTCTTTGCTAAGTGGTGTGTCACTGGGCCAGTTTTATTAACCGTTTGTAGCCTCAATTGCCTCAGCTGTAAAGTGGGGACAATAGGCCAGGCATGGCGGCTCATGCCTATAGTCCCAACACTTTGGGAAACTGAGGCAGGAGGATGTCCTGAGGCTAGGAATTTGAGACCAGTCTGGCCAACATAGTGAGATCCTGTCTCAACAAAAAAAAATTTTTTAAACTAGCTAGTCGCACGCTTGTTATCCTAGCTACTCAGGAGGCTGAGGTGAAAGGATTGCTTCAGCTCAGGAATTCGAGGCTGTAGTGAGCCACAGCTATGCCACTGCACTCCGGCCAGGGTGACAGAGTGAGATCCTGCCTCAAAGAAACAAACAAACAGTAACAATATCTCTGTCGTGGGGCTGTACTGAGGAGAAAATCAGGTCGCACCTGTACATACCTTTTTCCTATTCTCATTCCTAGTATCAACACTCCCTAGCCTTCACTAACTCTGTCTAAACTTAAGGTGAAATCTGGGCAGAGTGGTCAGAGCCCTCCATCATTTTAATCAGTCGTATATAGTAGTAACCAACTCATAGATAATGAGACACAAGACAGGTGTATGGCCAAGTCTCCACCCCCAACCCCCACTGCTTATTTAGCTCCCAAATCGTTACTGGTTTCTTTAAAGTAAAAACAATAACTTGTTTCAAAGCTAAATAGAATTGGTCTAATTCCCATAAATAGAAATGAACACAAATCTACAGAACTCTGAGAACACCATAACCACATTACTACAGAATTATTTGCATGTTGCAGAGACTGGAAATGTATCCCAGTATGGTTTGCATTTCCCCTACCCCCTCCTTTCCTCCTTTTCCCCTTTGAATGTTAAAAATGTCCACCAGGTATCTATCCAGTGAAATTCTTTCTAGCAGACCCCACTTTCATCTAAGACACACATTGCTCCCAGGAATCTAGAAGGAAGAGCCTATGATGTTGAGAGGTTAGAAAGACAGAAGGCTCTCAGAGCTCTGAGTCTCCTCTGACCTCCAAAAGAAAAATATGTGCATTGTGAAGCCATGTCTGTTGACTTAATTCTTCAGAAAATGAATCCATAAAATGAAATTATAATTAGCCAGAATTATGATAAAAATAGCTTGGACAGATGTGGCTACAGTACATTGATACTAATGGACATTAAATCAAAAGATTTGCACATGTGCTTCTTGATCTAGGCTGTCGTAGATTAATGCACTGGAGAGCTTGTTAAAGGCACTTGGTTTACTTTGCGCTCACAATAGAAATTACTAATTTGGGGCAAAGAAAACAGATGCACTCTAATGGGCAATCACTAGTCAGAAAAATTCTAACAAAGTTGTGCATTTAAAGCAATCCTGTCTTAAACTTTTGTCCACTTCCAAGACCTCCAACTTTCGCCAGAGATTTAGGATAATGGCTTTTGTCTGTGGCCAACAGGGAGCTCGAAATGGACACTCTGACAGCACTGTCCCCAGGAGAATTAGTCTGCAGTGTTTTGGTGTGGGCAACACCTCCCTTGCAGCTCTCTGGTTACTTGTGTGCTCTGGGAACACACCCTGCAGAGTGCATTCATCACAATAGTCCATGTGTGACCTTTGGAAAAGTCCTTGAAAATAGTGAAACAAGAGTTTTAGTTGAAATCTGGAATCCATTCCAGTCTTACACAGGAAGAAAATTAGGCATAGAACAACAAAGCCCATAGTTCAGAGAAACCTGGGGAGGCTCTGGCTGACATTAAAATCGTGCAAGTTTTTTTTTTTTTTCCTTCACTACTTTGTATTTCATAAAAGCTTTTCATCTGAGCAGCCCAAAGCTGTTAGAAAATACTATATGGTTAGTATAGGGCAATAACTGATTTCTCCAGTAAAAACACAAGCATAATAAGAACAGAGATGCTGAGTGACATATTCAAATTCACTTAACACTTTTCCAGTGCTATTCTTTCAAACATAAGCAGCCAGTGCTACCATTTTTCCCTTCAAATTGATGTATTGGCAGTAACAGGGGTAGAGGTGGGAGCTTGAGCAGAGAATAGTTGTACTCCCTAAGGCCCAACCCTGTGATAGAGTTAATTAGCTCAGATGCTGTGGACCTGGAAATATTCATTTTCTTAGAACATGAATCAGCCTTGTGGTGTGCTTACTCAGTAAATTTAACCCAACAAACATTTGTGGGGTAAAACTATTTTTATAAGTACGGACCAGTTCCCTTTGTTTCCAGCTGACATTATTCACTATTCATTTGCCAAACCATATGATTTATTTCATACATATAAATGAGCATAAACCTATACCACCTTTGGAAGCATTTTCCTTCTTTGCCAGCAAGAAGAGGAGAAGGACACTTTTGAGTCAAGCAGTGGCATAAAATCCAGTGAAAATCAATTGGCAGAGACATTCAGTTTGGAATTGTTTTAGAATCTACCTAACATCTATCTGGAAGGTCCCTCCAAAAGGTACAGACCCTGAAGCAGATAAGAAGATTCCGAAGTAAACCACAGGGAGTCACATCTCAGACACAGACCCTGAGTATTTATTCACATACATGAAGAACTTACATTTATTTTTCTTAAGTACCTTCACAGTTCATTTTTTCTTTTCTTTCTTTCTTTTTTTTTTAAACAAGATACATGGCATTACTTTGGTCTCCAAAACAGATGCCAGTTTGAACTTTATTCTGCCAGCAAGTATTTGGTTTGGCTCAGCAGGGCTCAAGTTGAAAAAATATTTGCCGATTCCAAAAAGATTTAACGAGCTTTGCTGCAGATGCTGGTGCCATTTGGCACATCACAGGGACTGTGGCATAGCAAAGAGAACTCTCTCGACCACAGATTTTATTTGCCCAAGGTAGCCAACACTGGGAGCTCAGTTGATTCCTTGGGTCAAGAAGCTGCAAGTCAAATGCGTGAAGTTTCCAAGAGAAAGTGACCAAAGCAGGCATGAGAAAACTCTTGCTGACACTGAAAAGGAAGTCACTGGGTCTGACTCCACCCTGCACAGGAATTGATGGCTAACTTTCAGAACTATCAACAACATCCTCACACCAACCATCAGATACAGTCTCTAATGCTGCCAGTCAGCAGACCAGATTAATCTCCAACTTCTAGCAAAAGCTATCCTTATCCAATATCAGATGCTAGAAAGTTTGCTGCAGTCCATTTTGTAGTTATGTGATACCTTATTAATTGTGGTAGGAGAATTAAACTATATGTAAACTAAATGACCTATTTCAAGTAACTCCACTAAATATAATCACCAACCTTACTTCATATTGCAAAGACAGACACGTATTGCATTGGTTTTGCTAATATTTGGTAGAATATAGATGCATAACTCTGTCTGTGATTGGAAAGACTGACCTTACTGCAAACATACGTCATATGTTAAAAATCACTGAAGATTTTCACCTGAAATCACGCCTTTCAGTAAGAGTTGCAAGAAAATAAGAGCTCTCATCCTTTCAAATCAATGTCACTTCTGACAATATAACAGAAAACACAAAACATTTTCATGTTTTGTGGGTGCTTAAGCATCAAGCTTCTGTCTTAATGAATATGGGGACAGGAAGAGTGGCATTGAAACTGTAACTACCTTGAAGAATGAGTAGTTTTGTATTATTTTTATTATTTCACATGTTGAGCAAACATATACATACTTGGGTATATCCTACCCCAACTTGTATGAATCTACCAAAACTCCTAAACGTTCCTTTCATTAACACCACATGCCAATCCAATGCTTGTTACATGATTATCTGACTCCAAAGCTCTGTAACAAATATCCTCAAAAAGAGGGGCAGTCTCTGCACTGCCTTTCATTCACCAAAACAAAGACGGAGCCTTCTACCTGGCTTAACTAAGATTTTGGAGTTAGAGTAAAAGTCAAAAGAAAAAGTCACAGAATAATGAAAGGGTGATTATAACTGTTACTTACCATTTTGGCTTCTGAATGCATTGGCTGGACCTGGGGAGAAGCACAGGGGTTGCTGAGATTTGGACCTTGCATCCCCATGATGCTGGAGTTCACTGACATTTGTCTCTCCATCTAAGAGAAAGGAAAGAAAAGAATTAGAAGTCTGCAAAAGGCAGTCTAGGTCATTAGACAAAGCTGTACTCTTTCTGTCCAATGGATCATTTAGTATTTCTTTGAAGAAATCCTGAGAAGCCCTATGGTTTGGTGTGTGGTAAGCAATGCCCTCCTGAGCCTTGAACTCAAGCACATCAAAGAATCATCCAAAGCCATGCTTCTATATATGGTGCCCCAGGCCAAAGAGAACTACATTGTCATGGCGGATCACTTTCAAATAAGATTACCAAATATTTCCACTTTTGTATATACTCCAACTACCACCAATAGTGCTTATTTTTGTGGATGCAAAGAATAATATATCCATACGAAAACTAAATGATCTATTTCAAGTAACTCCACTAAATATAATCACCAAGCTTACTTACTATGAAAGGATAAATAATATACCAAATGGTTAACTTGGGATATCTATGGCTTTTTTTTCTCTCTAAATTTTATACAGTAAACATAAATCTTTTGGGCAGTCAAAATAATTAGTTAGAAGAGCAACATCCTCAGAGGTGGTGGGCCTTCCTGTCACCCTGGTTCCCAAACACAATCATTATGATCCAGCCAGGCATTTGAGGTGCTGCCCAGTGCATCTCTTCTTCCTTGTTACCCTGTTACTCTATGCAGCCACAGTTTCAGGCCTGGCTTCATAGCAGGGCTAGGTCTTTGGGTAAGTGAAAAAAGCGGCCGAGGGTTTTGTATTTCACAAGAATGGCTGCTCTCACATTGTCTTCCTGCTGGCCTGCCATTGTGTCTAAAATGAACATCGTTCAAATACCTGAATCGAGTTCTGGCATTTTAATCTCCAGGGTGCTCCTATTAAGAAGTAAATACAGCAAAATGTCTACTTCCATCCAGGAAGGGTGTGCTTGATTAATAATGTTTTCCATTTGGTGGAAAATTAACACTTTTAAAAGAATAAGAATAAATCAAGTACACTTAATACTAAAATCACACAGAAAAGAATTAGACTTTCCTCAGGGGAACAAGAATAGATTCTTTAATGCAAGCGTGTTTCCATTTGCCATCGGATGGAAATGAAAACAATGATTGGTAATTTTAAGAAACCAGGTTTCTGCTTAAAGTTAGCCTAGGTAGTTTTGGAAAATACAGAGTTGCTTACTATTGGAGGTGTTCAAAGAGTGGAGGACTGAAATCTCATGAACGAGAGTGAAGCTTGATAGAGATCATTGAACTAAATGACCCTTAAATGTCTCTTCCCTTGTTGCGATGCCATGACTGCAATTTCTGTTGTGTCTGCCCCAGAGGCAGGGGTATAATTATGACATAAATCTGTGGGTTAGTAGAGGTGCTAGCTAAAAGCTTTCTCTCAATTGACTGGTAGCTACTCCCTGTGACAGTTAAGAGCTATCAGCCTTACCTTAGCCTGAATGAGCTGATCAGTCATCTGGCAGTGTACAGATGTGTGAAACTGTTTCAAGAGGACCTAATAAAGGTGAATTTTCTGTACATTTCCAAGCATTTCCGTACAACTTTGTGAGGCCTTGACAATTCAGTAAAATAAAATGTTCACTCCCACACACCCCCCCTAAATCTCTGAACAGCTACTCTAATTTTTAAAATTATTTTTATTGTGGTAAAACACAAATAACATAAAATTACCATTTTAACCTTTTAAAAGTATCATTAGGTACATTAAATTCATGGCCATTAAGTACATTCATGTACTGTAATTGTAAATCATGAAGAATTCAAGAGTTTCACTGCTTTAAAAAAATTCATGTTACTTTTATCTCCCCTTCCAGAGGCTGGTGGATGGGAGAGCTGGAATAGTATTTGACCCCTTATTCCAACTGGTGACCCTCTCAGAGAGGGAAATCGAATTCCAGAATAACTTTTGCTTCCAGTTTGCCAAAGAAGGATCTTTCAGGAGTACAGATAATTGTCCAGAGCCTTCCAAGCTACTAGTTATATAAAGAGGTAAGAGTAGCCTGCTCACAGCTTCTGGAATTGTAGTCAGCAATGCTTCCCACTTTTTGGAAAAGTTACAGTCTCTACCTAACCTGTGACTCACAAAATGCCAGTTTTAAACAGGCTGATTTACCTATTTAAAAGAAGTACATTTCCAACTTCATGACCGTTGTCTTACAGACCTAGAGTGTCAGCAAGAGCCTCTTCAAAATAAATATTTGGTGCTTTGGACTAATAAGGCTCTGTCTGCACCAGGAGCTTGACTTTAAGGAGTTGATTAGAATAAAAAGCCCAGAAGATGGGAGTGGCTTTGCTGAATTCTGGGCAACATTTAGCACTGCAGGTAAAATACCCGTGTAAAGGATTTCGCCTTCTGCACACACTGGAAAACAGGTGCTAGCATGTCTGTAGTTCAGTGAGGTTTTGTCATTATAAATGTGTGTTCACGCTTCCAAATTATTAAAGCATTTGAATTTCAAGATAAGAAATCACAACCCAGTGAACTCCTTGAGGGCAATGGCTGCCTTGTTGTTCATCCTGTCCCCAGCACCCAGCACAGTACTTGGCACACAGAGGTGCTCAGCAAGTTTGTGAAATGGATGAATGGGCAAATGGATGAAATAATACATCATTTTGTTTCACGCCTAGACTTCATAACATGTGTGGTCCAGCAGCAGGCACTACAAATCCGTGAAGATTCTTGTCCTCACTTATAGACACAGTCTTATCTTTTATACCCAGGGAATCATGGTCTTCCAGGGCAGAAGCTCTAGGGGAAGAGGCTCCCCTGTGACCAGGTTTGAAATGCCCAATTTATAGTACAGGAACTGGTGACATGATAATAAGGAAGAAAGGGAGTAGGCTTCTAGGGCCTGGAACTCTTACGATATGCTTTTTAGAGATCTTAAGTTAATGTTTATTTGTTACATTCATGTCCCTCAAGACCAGGGCTTCTCAACCTCAGGCCTGTTGAATATTGGGCTAAATAATCCTTCATTATGGGGGCTGTCTTGTGCATTGCAGGATGTTCAGCAGCATCCCTGGCCTCTACCCACTAGGTGCCTGTACCTTCCCACCAACCCTGATTGTGACAACCAACGGAGTCTCCAGATATTGCCACATATCCCCTGGGGGACAAAATCACCCCCTAGGTGAGCATTGCTGCTCTAAACTGACACCTATTCCCATGGCAGCTGTACACATCAATGTCATAGGTTTGGGAGCTCTTGACCATGCAGCTAAACCTTTGCTGCTACTCTGAAGCACTAACAGGAGGTCAAGCTGTAGGAATAAATTGTGTGGTAGAAACTGGTTTCTCTGGGTCTTTTTAGCCTACGTGTCTCATCTTTGTCCCTGGGAATCGTGCACAGCTTAGCCAAATTAAAAAAAAAAAAAAGTCTCAGCAGTGGTATTTTTCTGGGCAATGGGCAATGCGTGGAAGTTCTAAAAAAATAGTTTTTGGATGGGAACAACTTAAAGCCTAAAAGAAGACAGCTTGTGATGGAAGTCTTCACATAATTGGTTGGGTTGAATAAAATGTGGGATAATTGCATTGATGGTGCTATTTTCTTTCATCTAGAGGGGTCTAAGGAGAGCAACATAGCAACATAGGTAAAGTCAACCAATGTGATCTGTCCTCTGGCCCAATGTTGCAAAGACTGTTTCTAATCTGGACTACTCAGTATTTAGAGTGGGCAAGTCCATTTCTCTAGACTGAGTCTGCGGACCCTTCACCGTTCCCCTGCTTACACTTAGATAAATGAGCAAATTGCTCAACCTGGGATGATCTGAGCTACTCAGTGTCAATTGAGATGTGCGTTCCAGCCACAACTCTTCACTCACAAGCTGTGTGATATTAGACAACTACCTTCAACTTCTTCTTCAGCTTTTCATCTGTAAAATGAGTATATCAATAATTACTGCTACTGCATCCCCACAGGATTGCTGTGAGAATAAAATGATGTAACAATAGAAACCATTTCTTAAAATGCTAACAGGCTTTGCAAGGCGTTGTTAATATTGTTGTGGGAAGGATTTTAATTGAGTTGTTATAGTGCCTCTAGGGCTTCTGAGAACTCCTGTGGCCCTGTGAACACACCAACCAATGTCACCAAAACACAATGCCAGGGAGGATGAAGAAGAGGTGCAGGGAAGAGGTCCATGGAAGGAGAGGAAGGTTTCTTCTGGAAAACTGGGTATCTCCCTTCTATGTTTATCTACTATTAGTTTTTGTTTTTGTTTTTCGAGATGGAGTCTCACTCTATCACCCAGGCTAGAGTGCAGGGGCGCGATGTCGGCTCACTGTAACCTCTGCATCACGGGTTCAGGTGATTCTCCTGCCTCAGCCTCCTGAGTAGCTGGGACTACAGGTGCATGCCACCACACCCAGCTAAGTTTTGTATATTTAGTAGAGGGTTTCACCATGTTGGTCAGGCTGGTCTCGATCTCCTGACCTTGTGATCTACCGCTTGGTCCCAAAGTGCGGATTACAGGCATGAGCCCACCATGGCTGGCCTTATCCATTATTTTATTGTTTGTCATTAGATAATGATTATGAGTCGGACTCAGAAGTC